ACAAAATTCTAACACAAATTTGAACAAATTCTTTCCATTTCCCTCACCCCCCAACCATCAAATTGTACAACCCAATGATTAATCTCCCTCTCCCCCTGCACATCCACATCCCTCTGTTTCCAGCCTCTCCCACCCCTCCTGGATCCTTATACTCCTTCTACAACAACGCTCTTATACGGTATTTATCCGTGTGGGACTGAGTGAGTTCACTCAGCATAATTCAAACACAATAATCTTCAAAGTCTCTGTTTCTTCATCTGTAACAACCATAACACAATCTATCTCACAGGACTGTCAGGGAGATTAAGCGAAATAACCTTGGCACATACACACCACTCAACTTCCTTTGTTTCTAGAATAGCCCACCAGCTGGCCCACAGGACAAAGATGGGCAATCGCCTCCTGTAAGATTTCAAGCCTCTGAAAAACCCACTGAAGGGTCAGCTATGAGAGTCACTTCTGACTCAACAGCAATGAATGAGTCAAGAGACTAGGGAGCACTAGTGGCGTATGTAACCGAAAGGCTGTGCCTCTCTGTCAGCTTGCACTCACCAGCAGCTCCTTGGAAGAAAGATAGATCATCCCCTCTTGTGTGATTAACAGCCTCCTGAAAAACTGCTGGTGGGTCAGCTATTGAGGTGGTTCCAAATCAATCCCAATGAGTAAATCTACCTAATAGAATACTGAAAACGAATAGTAAAATATTTTCCTGTTGCTAATGGTAAACTTAAAAATATGACCATTAGGAAAGACAGCTAAAGGCCAAAGATCTTTCAAGAACAAATCATCTTGGGAACTGTTGTCAAAAATCTGTAGCATATCCAAACATCCGTGAAATTCCTCCCTTGTTTAACATTAAAACACATGATACAGCTACAGTATTTCCAAGAAATGGACTTTTCTTGGCATAACTATCGCTTAAAAAGAAAACAGTTATCTGAAAGAAATATTCTAGTTATCTTGATTTTGTCCCAAAGTACTAATACTCTGTCCAAAAGAACTAATATTCTAGTAACCTAATATTAGTATGTGTAGAAAGTTGAGTTTGCAAAAGCAGGAATTTCTGCCAACAAAATGGATACCGACTTGGAACACAAATGGGTTTAGGTCATTCTGACCCCTTTCCTCCTGGGAGGAGGTGACTGCATTTGCAGCTCCACGAGTTTTTCCACAGATCCCCTACAGACAATCTCAAAGATCTTCAGTGAATGTTTCTTGTTGAATACTCGGATGTATTAAGGGTCAGAAGGAAGTCTCTAACACCTTACTTAACTAGAGATCGTATTCCAGATTCCTCTTAAATACTTCCAGATAGTTACAGAAATAACCTGGCCAATATTCAAACCTCCAACCCTCACCCTAGGGGATGGATCCTTTGTCCAAGTTTCTAGGGAGTTACATTGCCAATCCCACAGTGGGCAGATGGAATCCACCAGCTGCTCTTCAGGAGAAAGATGGGCAATCTCCTTGGCTTCAACTTGACAGTAATGAGTTTGAGAAAGATTCAGAGTAATTAACATTTGTGATCACACTGAAGACACACCCACTTAACACAAAGGCGAAAGATACCCTCCGGGCCATCTAAACCATTATGCTGTATATCTAGAAAATATTAAAGTATACAATCAATTCTTAAGATGGCAGCTATTGAACACTGGTTTTCTCAATCTCAAAACTACTCTGTAATACTAACAAGGAAAGATATTTTTCCAAAGAATCCAAAGAAAAAAGCAATCTGGGGGGAAGCGAGGAGGAAAATGTACAACAATGAAGGACTGGAAACCCAAATTCTTTATAAACTTTCATTAAAATATCAATTAAAAAAATCCCTACTCTGTAATACTATTCACTTGTTGTCAGAAGTCCTCACCACATATACCATGAGTCTCCTTAAGCACATTAGACTCTGTTTTAAGTTTAAAATTAGGAAGGCCCCATTCTCCATTTCTATTAATTGTTCTAAACACAAATTATAAAGTTCTTATCTATCTTTAGGTACTGACTGCAAAGCCTATACCATTAAACTATGCACACAGTTATATCAGAAAACAGACAAACCCAGAACAGCAGGGACATTTATCAAATGTTCTAAGAGAAAATGGTCACGTTGGAATTTCTTTAAAAAAAATTCATTTATTCTTTCAACTCCAATTTCCTATACCACCCTTTTCTCATAGCATAACCCCTTCCCCCAAATAAGACTAAAACACTTGGGTGACATACAAAAAGACATTTCATATTTATTTCACACAAGCTTTCATATAAGAAGTTAAATGAAATGATCCCTAGTTGACAGCATTACCAAAAATAGTCCTATAGTCCTGTTTCACATTCCCTTCAGTGCCCAGATGAAGAAAAGTGTATCTGGATATAAGAATGGCAATCTGTACAGTGGGTTTACTTGTGTATGTGTGGAGGGGAGTAAAACCCATACACGTTAAACAAAAAGAAATAAATGAACCCAATGGTTTCCTACCAGCAATGGGCATCCCACTGATGTGCTGAAGTCTCTAAGGACCCTCAAGTTTTGGGGCTCATTTCTCAGCAACAGTCCTAGGTACACACATAACTTCCCTTTCCTCCCTCAGCTTTTTCACTGCTATGATAGAAGCAAAGTGCAATTTCTCCACTCCTGGGCTTTGTGACCGCATCAGTAGTTCTCTGAGTAACTAGAATGTCAAAGCATCCCCACCTCTCAACTGTCATCTAATCAAGTTAACAGTAATAACGGCTTTGAGTGAGGTGTTTTGTCTCCCAGAATGATGAAGATGATGATGGTGATTATAACCTGGCCAGGAGGGAATCTCATTTCTACAGAGGAAAACCAATTACTCCTTCTAGACTACAAATGAACAAAATGGAACACGCACAGTTCCAGTCTCCCAGCTTCAACCTGGCCTCCAAAATGAATGTCCTGGAAGGAAATAACTTGACCTCTACCACTGTGCTGAGGAAGCCCAATTTCCTCAGAAAAGTCAAGGCAGTGCTGTTCTGTTCTTTCACAGTAGAAGAAGTATGTGGCCACTTTTGCCCTAATAGATAGGGAGCAGAGATCTCAGACTTCCCCTCCCTAATGGGCAGGAATTGCAAGCAGAATAATCTTACTGACTATGAATGAATAAACATCTCAAGAACTTGTGATATAGTTCCTTCCAGTAATTTGAGTGTGGTTTATGAGAGACAGACTGGGTGGGTGAAGCACCTCTTACTTCTCACACTTCAGATTTGGAGGAATGAGGAAGGAGAGAGGAGGCCTGGTGGCCCAGTGGGTTACATTCTGGATGGTTGTTCAAAAGGTTGGCTGTTCAAATCCACTAGGTGCTCGGTGGGAGAAAAAAATGTGTAGTCTCTTTCCACAAAGATTTATAGCCCCGGAAACCTCATGGAAATGACAAAAAGGCAGTGAGTTTGGGCTTTTGTTTTAGAAGGAGGAGGAGAGGAAGCACATATGGCTACAGAGTGGTGATGGGAAAGCAGGGAACCCTAATATATGCAAAAATACTGAGTATAAAGATTAGTGCCTAGGATGGCTATCAACACAAAACAGGAAACCCACAAATATCCATATTTAAGGCTAAAGAGGAATCCTTGACGGTGGAGTTGCTAGGACATTGTGCTTCCTAACCCAAAGGCAGTATCTCTCCAACAGTTCGAATCCACCAGCTGTTCTGAGGGATACAGGTGGATAATCTCCTCCTGTGTGATTTACAGCCTCTGAAAACTGCCTGAAATCAGTTCCAACTCAACAGCCATGAGCTTAATTTTTTTTTATAGTTTTAATTTTTTTTAAAGGCGGGGGGGGGGATACAACTATTTTTCCCCTACTCAAACAAACAGCACAGCCCTAAGTGAAGACAATACCATATTTGTGTTTTAAAAAACAATAACACGTAAAGAAACATTAAATGCTGAAAACCATGACAAAAATGTGGACTCACACAGAAGTTACAAAACAGGCAAGAGGTGGCCACGGCTCCTCAGGCTGCAAACACTTGACCTAAGATGGACATTCTCCTGGCCCTCTAGGTGTTCTAAGCAAATTGTTATCAATTTCCAGTGAAAGGTAGAGGGGTGGGCTACACTGAGGGAAATGTAATGGTGGAGTTTAGAAGATTTGAAAAGTGGTGGGTGAAGGTCAGGAAGGGGTTAAGCACTAAGAAGTCCCAACTCGATTTTAAGGGAGTCTGGTGCCTCAAACCCGGGGAGGTCTGGCACAAGCCAGGGGCATGGCGAAGACTTGATTTGAGTTGCTGTGGTGAAGGAAAACTATTAGAGACTGCATAACACTCAGCGGGTCATTCTGACTCCACTTCTTTCGGAAGATGCCGTGGTTTTGAAAGGTTTTCCTAAAGACTTTGCTTCCACCTTTTCTGCATCTGTCATCACTATGGTCCACACTAATTTCTGGGGCTTTGGCAGCCACAGTAAGTGCTGTGGAAGGGGATGCTGGGCTCTGGACTGTTAAGAACTATACCAGCAACAATCACAACTCAACAGGATCCCAAATGACAGAGAATAGATTTTATCAATTTCGTTTGCTTAGATGTTCTCAGTGACTTACGCTTGGCATTGGCCACTTGGCACCCAACAGGAGTTCCACCAAACAAATAAAAACTTATTGGTGCTGTTTGGAGACAAAGCGTACAAAGCAGTTAATGGATCCCTCAAGGAAGGCGTCACTGCTCGTCGTAAGAGCCCTACAGCCATCAGCACTCTGTGCTTTCTGCCTCCTGCATTGAAGCCCTTTGCCCAGGCTGTTTGCTTTTATCATTCAATGAGGATGGCTCCACTCTCTTCTACAAAGGATTCCATTATTACTTCAGGGGTGTGTTTTGGTTTTGGCGACGATTCAATATGAAGACCTGTGTCTCTTGTGAGCTGCCTGGTTTTTTTAACTATTCTGGTAGTTTCCATTTCCACTCAAGGAAGGTCCAAGATAACAAATGGAGATCAGGATGAATATTCACAGGATCACACTGAAAGTAAAAAATAAATTATCCTCATTGAGGAGAGCTGCCTCTCTTCAGGTTTTCTATCAGCACTACAGAGTCGGTTTCTTCTTTGGTTTGCTTCTCATAGATGTCATACTTCTTCCAGTGCTAAAAGAAAGGGGGAAAACAGCAACACAAACATAGTAAGTTAGCTAAACAGGATTCCCCGCCCGCACCCGAGCACTCAAAACCCACACTTAGTTTTAGGTTTGCATGCATGGAACGACGAGTTTTCCTGCCCACCTCCCTCAAATGGGAATGGTCATTAAGTGGGAGGAGTGCAGCAGCATGGGACTGTTAAGTTATATTAAAAATGGTTGTTTTAAGATAAAGAAATTAGGACTTTTTCCAAAACTGGAAACAACACCTTCTTATTTTCACTTGGACAGGAATCTTTTTATTTTCTTATTTTTTAAATATTCTTTTCTTACATTTAATGGGAATTAAGCTGCTCTTTCAAACAATGAACAATCTGAAGCCTTTCTGAAATGAGAAACAAAAATCTTTTGAAGAAGGAGGGAAAAGGTAATATACTTTCCTTGCTTCAACTGTTTCACTTGTCCGTAAGGCCTTAGCTTTATGTTATAGCACTCAGATTTAATTGGAGGGAGTGGTTACAGTTACATACAATTGTCAAAACTCTTCAAAGGGCCCACTTTGAAAGAGTGCATTCTATTGCATATGTATAATATTTCAGTGATGTCTTGTAAAAAAACAATATGAAAAGAATTATACAACCTTAAAATAATGGCTTGTTTTTTCAGTAAACAGCACTGAAATAAATACCTGGCTATGTATTTGACAAAGAAAGATAAGCACTATCTTACAGCCTGCAAAAATAAATTTATGATTGATTAAAGGCTCAAAAGTATATAGGGGAACAATTCTATAACTATGGGGCTGGGAACAGCTTTGTACATGTGAAAAATAAAGACTTGATTGCATAAAAAAATTTTAGAAAGTTTTGAACATCAGTGTTATTTGTTAGGTGCTGACACATCAACTATGACTCGTAGTGACCCTATGAACAATAGATGGGAACAGTGTCCTACCCTTCACATCGTCACTATAACTACCATGCTCAAGCCCACTGCTACAGTCACTGGGTCAATTCATCATTAACTGCCCTAAATACAACACAAAGGTAAGCATACATAATAAGCTAAAGGGTTGGGATACAGAAAGAGCTCTTAAAAGTCAAGAAAAAACATGAATGCTGTAGGAGAAAATGAGACGACAAAAAGAATTACACACACAAAAACCAACTTAATAGATAATAAACATGAAAAACCAGATAATTGGATATATAAAAATAAAGATCAAACAACTTTGTTATCTATCAAATTGGCACTGATTAGGAAAACCAGGTATCATAATGTTGATAAAAGTGTGGAAATACCCATTACTACTACATACTGCTAGGTGGTATATAAATTGGTATAAGCCTGGTTGCAATCTGTGTTCCCTGTTAAAATGGTAAGTGCATGTATCCTAATGCCCTATATTTACTCACTACAAAATAATCAGACTCTACATACATGACTTGGTTTTTAATTGAAAAGGACTTCATGTTTGTTTTTGCAAATCAGCACCTCAAGTATAACCTCTGCATATTACACTGGATGTAAAGAGTCCCTCCTTTATTTAACCAGTATCCTTTAGTTGTTATTGTTATCTGCCCCAGACTCATTCTAACTCCATGTGTTAGAAAGACCTGCTCCATAGGGCTTTCTTGGTTGCTATCTTTACAGAAGAAGACTGCCAGGTCTTTTTTCTTGTAAAGTCCATGGGTGGATCTGAACCACCAATTTTTCAGTTAGCAGCAAACTGCAAAACACTGTACCACCCAGACTCTAATTTGGTATCCTTAATGGACTTTTAACTTACACAGTCTTTTGAGATGATCATTTGTCATCATCAATTAGAGCTTAAAATGTACATACCCCACCTTAACATATCAATCTTATATATTGTCCCAAGAGATTAAAAAACTTATTGCTGTCAGGCTGAAACCAATTCATAGCTGACCTTCTATTGGGCCTTCTGAGTCTGTATACTGCACAGAAGGCAACTACCCCTCTTTCTCCTGAGGAGCAGATAGTGGATTCAAATATCTTGCCTTTGGGGTTGGCAGTACAACTCCTTATCCACTAGAGCCCACTCAGAGAAGAAGCTAATGTGAACAGACTCAAAAGCAGGACAGGGATTAACACATAAAAAGAAGAAGAAAGAATGTTCAGATAAAAGCAGAGGAGAGTGACAGGGCCAGGATTATTTGAAAAAGTACCTTACCAGATTTTTGGCAATTTTGGAAAATAACAGGAATTGGAAGTTTTATAGCTATGAAACAGTGAAGAAAATGATCACTAACTCAGGTCTCCTTCTAAATGCACAGGAAGAATGAGTTCACTTAAAAAATGATCCACCAAAAAATATCTTTACATAATGAAAATATCCTGGTAATTCAGGGGAATATGATAATATAATACTTCATAATCAGTTAAAATACATTAAGAAGCTGAATAAAAAAATTACAATATATTGAAGAGTATCATAAATCAGAGTGAGAACTGATAAATGTGATGGTAGCACTTAGAAAAGGATGACAAAGAGAACAGTAATTTTAGAAATGAAGTTTAAGCTAGAACACAAATGCAAATAAGCACAATAGATAACTTTTCAAGAAAAAAGGAAGATAAAAAGGAGGGTTTGTGGGGGCGTTTTTAATCAAAAGAGGATAAAACGAAAATTAAATTGCTCGCTCTGTGAACTTTCACTAAAAGCCAATAAATTTTTTTTTTTAAAAAAGTCTTCAACTTGTCATCTGAGCTACAGATTTTGGATTCACCAGTCCCTGAAATCTCATTAGTCAGCAGAGGGTGCCAGGCTGTTGCCCACCCCACAGATTGGTTGAACCTACTACCAATTTATGAAACTACAGATTCATCAGTCCCTATTACAACCATCTGAACCTGCAAAAACCTTTAGCCTATTGCCGACCCCATGGGTTTAGACTGAGCTATGGGGGACAAGGGAATTCAAATAAAACCCAACAAACAAAACAAGTAAATAATCTGTTACAGTGAGGTGAACATCACAGCCGAAATGGCTTCTAAGAACACATTCATCTTTTCAAGTGTCCCTTTCCATTTTTAAAGCGTGGATGACCACCTTCATTTCTATCCTTCATCGATAACTATGCACTTTCTCTGAGGGCTCTATGAACATAATCACATAAAGCAAGAGAACCAAAAGCAAAGGCTCAAACCCATAATTCAATTTTTTTAAATTTCATGGCCGTCCAATCTCAAAATTGCATATAGAAAAAGAAAATGCACAAAATTACCACTTTATAATTTGACCACTACCCCATTAATTTTTAAATAAGGTAATAAATAATAAAATACTGGCCTACAAATGAAAACTATTCATAGATGATATGGGAGGAGGGAAATTGGTGTTCATCAGACTAAAACAACTGGTTTGGGGTGGTTAGTCATCTAATCCTAGAAAATCCCCCCTTTTCAAAGGCTTTTACATTTTAAAGACTCAAATGCAGGGAATTGGTGAAACATTCACTGAGTCTCAATGTCAGAATCCTTTCAGGATTTGGTCAAGATATTTTCCATAGAAGTGAAATGAGTTCATTGTACCCAAGCGTCATGCAAAACCACTCACGCTTTTATGTACAAGTCAAATGATTTCATGCTTTAGCTCTTGTCAGATCAACATTCAAAACAGGAAATTGTGTAACATAAATCGCAGATCCTCCCATGTTAAATCCTCACAGCTTAAAAAAAAAGAGAGATCTGAGTGTGGTGGTTGTGCTTGTTGTTAGGTGCTGTTGAAACAGCTACACCTCATAGCCACTCTGTGTGCAATAGAGCTTAGTGGTGGTAAAGGGGGTAATGTGGTACTATTTGATGTGGATATTATTCCAATTCTTGATATTATAAAGTTATACTTAAAAGGCAAGAATGAAAAATGGATCCTACTTTCCTAGCACGAATTGGATTTCAGAATGACCAGAGACCAGCTGAAGGCGAAAGTGCCACCCTATCCTATCACAGTAGATGAAAAGATAGAATGAAAAAAAAAAAAACCATCCTTCACAATCCCTAATAAAATTACTGATTCAGTAAAAGATGCATCAAATAGTGCAGGAAGGAATTAACTGAAGAGTTGATGGGGTGGGGGGGCACCAACATAAAAGAACATCCCAGATTATCTTCACATGGAAAACAAATATGGGTAGCAGGAGGGCATGCTGTTATCACCCTAAAAACAGCATTCCATCATGGTAGGATGCTCAGGTGGCCTAGTGGTAAGGAGTTGTAATATCAACCCTTAAACAGGTAGTTCAAATCCACGAGCTGCTCCATGGGAGAAAGATGGACAATCTCCTACTGTGGGATTTATAGCCTCTGAAAATTCACTGGAGAGTCAGCTATTAAGTTGGTTCCGACAACATAATGGCAGGGTTAACAAATATGTTTCCTGGCAATAGGGATGGCTGGAAGCTTTTGAATATGGACTGCATGTTAGTTCATAGTAAAAAACGCTATTTCTTTGAAAAATACGCATACTCTCATTACCATCAAGTTGGAACCAACTCAAAGTTGACCCTCCAGCAGGATTTTGGAGGCTACAAATCACATGGGGGGAGACTGTCCATCTTTCTCCTTTGGAGCAACTGGTGGATTCAAACCAGTACAGACGCAACTCCCTAAGGTAAATGCCACCAGAGCTCTTTGAAAGCACAGTCATGGTATTTTAGCTATGTGGGAAAACAAAATTTTCAAAGGTCTATGTTGCTCATGTTAGGTGCCACTGAGTCAGTTCCAAATCATAATGGTCCTGCATACAACAGAATGAAATACTCCGGTCCTGTTCATCCTTGCAGTCATTTTTGAAAATATATACTGAAGTTAAAAGGGAAAATAAATACCAGCAGGATTTGGACGTCAGCTCCAAGTTAGAAAGCTGTTTTCCAATCAAGAATGCAAACCTGGCACAGTACTTAAAATGTAACTAGTTTCCAAGAAGAAGGGATGATTAGATCAGTTTCATGGATGAAGAGAAACTCAGAGAAAAGGCAATTCCCTCTC